AGAGAGAGAGAGAGAGAGAGGGAGAGGGGAAGGGGGTGGTTGTTTAGGGGAAAACCTTAAGAGACCGTTTACCAAATGCTTACTCGGATAAGCGCTTACCAAGTCATATTACTTCATTGGATGAATATGACAAAGACCAAGAATCTTACCCGGTAAGAGCGAAGGCAAGGACCGAAAGTCTTACCCGGTAAGTGATAGCGACAACTTTTACCACGGTTAATGTTTACTGGGTAAGTTGTTATATACGATGTCGTTTTGGTACACTAAAATCTTACCAGGTAAGAAAGCAATAACGTTGAATTTTACCGTTAAACGCTTACCGGGTAAGTGTTTAGGTAAACGGCCCCTAAATAAATAAAGAACTATAAAAAAATCTTGCCAACCTTTAGATTATATGGTCTAATGGATGCGATTAACTAGACGCATTTTTCAAATTAAAAAGGCCCCCTCTTCTTTTTATATGAAAAAAGACCAAAAATAAACGAAATAAATTATATAAAAAAACAATCATATTTCTCTTGTTGATTTGACATTCATATTGATATATTTTTTTCATCTGTTTTTTTGTGGTTTTTTCTGCTTTCTGTATATTTAACGTTTTCCTTTATATATATATAGATAGATAGATACAATATATGATTATGAAATTCGTAAACTGTTTTTCCTATAAAACATCACAAACAAACGATTAAACGAACATGGAATTAACTGATAAAAATAACATAAGCAACTTACAATCGTCGTAGGATTTGGGGTCGATCATCGTCTTCTTTTAGAATAATCACAAACTTGCAAGATTCTGAATTTAACCTCCAAAGCAAAGGAGGAACTTCTTTGGGAGGGTGCCGGTAGCACGGTATTTCGCGGCCAACTCCTCGGCTTTCAACTTGTTTTCGCCTTTCTGGGCCTCGACCATGGCTCGTTTTTCTTCAGCTTGTTTGTGAATTAAACCCACCTTGTTTTTCATCTTTTCTCCATATTCTGCTTTCTTCTTGTCCATTTTCTCCTGTTCATGTAAACATGACATTCTCTAGGTAAATAATCTTTCGTCCATGACGTAAGAAGCACACAGTTTAAGAGATTCGTAATTATTAGAGCATCTCCAACAACTATTTTAAAATGGAGATTTTGGAGATTTAGAAAAAAAAAACTCAAACAATTATGCGAAAACGTATGTTAAAATAGAAAAAAGAAAAGAGAGAGTATGAAAATCTTCAAATTTAGAAGATCTCTAAAACCCTATTATAGGGGAGAGAGAGAGAGAGAGAACTCTTGTTGGATAAGTAGTACAACACATATCAACATGTTATTTGAATGTTCTATAATTTTAATATATCTAGATTTAGTTGGTAAATATTAACATAAATAAATCAGTGACTTCAACTTCCGTGATGTTGGTACAGTACCGTACCAACATGTACCAACTGAAAAAAAGTTAGTTGGTACCAAGTATAATTGGTTGGTACATGGTATAAAATTTTACATACCAATTATAATTGGTTGGTACATACATGGGCGGAGTCAGAAAATTTATCAAGGTGGTGCCTAGAAAAAATGTAAGAAAATTCACAATTTCAAGGTTGAGAAAACCCTTTTAAGTATATACGTTTTTCTTATAATTAAATACTTGTCCTAAAAGTAGTTATGAAAAAGAGTTGAAAAACATCAATGACCTAAACAACATAACTATATCTATATTTATACAATCATATAAATAAGAAAAACCCTTTAAAAATACATGTAATTTATCGTAAAAAATTTATGTATTCAATAAAGTAACGTGTTTATTTTAGAACCTTTAGAAAACTTGACATTTATAAAGAAAAAAAAATTTTAATATGAATAAATAAAGTTTCAGATGGGTAATTAATTGAAGTTTGAGACTATATCAAATTTTATTTTTAAATTTTGAGGGGAGCCGATCCAAAGTGGCTCCGCCCATGGTACAGTACGATGTTCATCCCTAGTCAATATAAAGATAGTACGTTAATTAATGCAAGTAGCGTTAGTTGTTATCAGTACCTCGATTTGTTTCAGCTTAGCTTCGATATCTGCTCTCTTTGTGTTTTCCCATGCAGTTATAGCGGATAGCTCCTTCTGTGCCCTGTTGATTCATTCACAAACAAGTGATCGAAATGAACATCTTTTCAGGTGTAATTGAACAAAACTGTGCATAAGCAAGTGATCAAAGTTTCACTATATGGTTAAAACCGTCACTTTGGTTTAGCTCGAGATTTCAAACTCAAAACGAATATAGATTTTTAAAATGTAGTTCAATTTGGACAAAACTTGATTGCTCAAAAATCTACTCAAAGTTCGAGTTCGAGCTTGAACTTCAGTATCTATGGCAATTTCATCGGAAAAAATCATTTTTTAAATTGTATTAAAGATCAGGTTTTGAATTTTATTGCACACCGTTCGGATTATGAATATATATTATAATATACAAGCTTTAGATGATCTCAACGTGTTAAGGATGTCTTACGGGCTGTTTGGTTGGTAATCTTATATGGATAAAATTGTCTGTGTGGATTAATCTTTCTGTAGAGATGGGAAAGGTTTTTGTTTGGGAAAGTTTTTTTTTTGGAAGAAATGTGTTTTTTTTATTGGGAGGGGCAAGTTTGTAAATAAAACTTGGTTTTATGTATAAAGCTCCTATCTGAAAATATATTGAATAAGGCGCTTTATATATCATTAAGACACTACCAAGCAGTCAAGTATAGCTGACCGAATAGTTATAAGTCCGATTAAGTTGCTAATAAACAGGTCCTTAGTCGGTTAGTCTTTACTCAACAAGTTTAAAGTACTCGAGCTAATGAGTCCAATCAAAGAAAACAAGTTTCAATTGAAGCTTGAGAGAAACATGAGCTAACCCGAGGTCGTATATATCAAGGTCATGCCTATTATCTTCCCCCCCCCCCCATGCAAACCAATAGCATATTTAGCGGAACACTTACTTGTTTTCCACCTTCGACTTTTCAGTTTCCTCCCAGGCCTTGATGAAAGACAATTGTTTCTCTTTTTCAAGCTCAGACAACGCAACATCTGAAAGAGAAAAAAAATTCAATCCCATCAAAATAAGCGTCAAGCAGAAGAAATCTGTATCTAAACCTTTCTGTTAATAAATTATCGAGTTTGAATGTTGTTGGATATCCACTTACCTCTATCAAGGGAGTTGCTTGACCCTTTTTTCACCACCTCAGGAGCTGAAGTCTCTGTTGAATTCAGATTGCAAAATTAATCGACTAACAAGAATCTCGATACACAGAAATAGAAGAAACTCAAGCCAGGTACAAACAAAACAAATAATCATGTAATGGCGCACTAGTCAAGGCTCGGCGGATTTGGTGGGGAAATCTCATCTTCCCTGGGTTCAAATAGCCCTTGTGACTATGAGGTTCACCCGCAATGACCCTAGGCCATTCGTGGTCGCCAAGGGGATTATTCAGTGCGCATAAGCTGGCTCGGATACAACGGTTACCCAAAATAAACAAATAATCATGTTTTTTCTTGCTTACCTATCTTTACAAGAGCCATGGAAGTTTACAAGGTCACACTATATGTTTCTAGTTCTTCCTCAATATGCTAATACTAGAATGAACAAAGATCACAGTTGCCTAATATGATGAAAGATTATTCTCCAATCTGTAAGGGCCACATATTATTTCCTTACAACTTTTGACATTTTTTTATGTAATAAAGACCAACTTGTGGGGGAGCAATAACCACCTTTTTAATTGTTGCATTATTAAAGGAAATATTAAGTAAAATGCTTTCAAAAACAGAGAATTCTTCCTTTTCCAAAAGTTAGGGCATCAAATATACAGGAAGGTAGCATCATATTTTTGGAGAATCCATCATAGCGAAAGCACCTTATAGTGGCCATCAACATATAAGAAAGTTTAAGGTTATAGGAATTCAACACCCCCTATATGTGTGTGTGTGTGTTCCTCCAAAAACAAAAAGAAGACCGATTAGTTATTCAGATTCAACAATTTTGACAGAACAACTATCGAATTCAAGTTCTCAACTAGACAAAACTCGAACCTAATTCAACTTTAGTTGTGAAACATGACTGTAAAATCGTATTTAAATCAACAACAACAAAAAGTGAGAAACAAAAAGGATCGTCCACTTGTTCAGATTCAACAACTTTGACAGAATAAGTATCGAATTCAAGTTCTCAGCTAGATAAAACTCGAATCTAATTCAATTATAGTCACGAAACCTGATCGTAAAATCCTATTTAATCAACAACAACAAAAAGTGAGGAATAGAAAATATCGTCAAATTATTCAGATTCAACAATTTGACAGAACGATTATCGAATTCAAGTTCTCAGTTAGATTAAACTTGAACTTAACTCAACTATAGCTGTCAAAACCTAATCGTTAAAATCGTAATTGATCAACAAAAAGAGTTAGAACAAGAGTATACTTTCAGCAACGGCGAGTGTCTTGGAATCATCGGCCTTAGTTTCAGGTACAGTCGGAGGATCTACAGGCTTCTCCGGTGCAACGTCAACAGGTGTCTCAACCTTCGCCGGTGCCAACTCAGATTCAACCTTTGCAGGTAGCTCAGTTGCCATAATAACAATCAAAACGGTCGCCGGCGAGTGTGTGTGTGTGTGTGTGTTTATACCGGCGGAGATGGAGGAATTGGTGTAGCGGCGGAGTATTATATGGAAATGGAATGGTGTGTGAGGTGTTGAAAAGGATAATGATGATCGGAGTGTCTCATTGTACACTCTGTGCTGTTGCCGACAGGTAAAGCGGGTAAATCACGCGTATTAACTCCATCGACCAACCTCCTACGCCGTCGTTTTACTACTCTTTTACTTATTTCTTATTTTTAAATATGGTTTTAGAAAAAAAAAATTATTAATATGAATATTTAATCCATTATGCGAGCCGATTAATTTCAGAACGATCATCTGTTTTGCGGGTAGTCTGGAGTCGTCGCATTTGAATCTTCGTGACCACAAAGAAATTTTTATTTCTTATTGAATTTAAATCTGAGACCTCCAGACGTTTTTGAAATTTGGAACCCAATATCAAATTAATCAGACATCATCTTTGTGATTAGCAAAATGTTTGATTCTACTGAGAATGAAAGTTATGGTGAAAAAGATTTCATAATATTTAGTTCCGGTGACAATTTGTAAACTTTTTAAAGTGTAATTAAATTTCATAATGTTTCACATATGTTTTTTTCCAATATGAATACATACATACATATATATATATATATATATATATATGTGTGTGTGTGCGTGCGCGTGTGCACATGTGAAAAATGCTTCAAATCATCGTGTTTCTAATAAAAAATAAGATAAATTACATGAAAAAAATAATATACTTTAACTTGATTCCTATTTTGGTTAACGTACTTTTAAAACTTCCATTTTGGTACCAAAGATGTAAAGTTTTAAACATTTAAGTACTCGAGTAACGAATTGAAACTTTAACCGGTTATCATGCTGATGTAGCGAGTAATGTGGTATTCAATTCAATATTATTTGCTGACGTGGTTAGTAACATAGTTTTTTTTTATCTAAAATTAGTCTTTTTTTAGTCTACAATTATTCTTCAACCGGTTACCCGGGTACTTAAATATTTAAAACTTTACATCTTAGGTATCAAAATAAAAGTTTTGAAAATACGTTACCCAAAATAAAAATCAAGATATAATACATTACTTTTTGATGCAATTTGCTCTAAAAAATAACTTAAAATTTAAATTTTTTAGGTGGGTTCAACCTGGTTTATAACCTTTTAATTTAATATATCTATACTATATTATAAAGCATTTGGCTAAATCTCTTAAAAATAATTTTTTATGCATAAAGTACTGTTTATTAATGCACATTACTTAAAATTCAAGATTACAAGTAGAATGTGCATGAATACATCTTATTAAAACTTCATGTTTGATTCGTGTAACTAATTGTAGATAAACATAATCAAATACATGATAAACATCATTTTAAATATAAAAAATCTAAAATATAATTAAAATAATCATTAAGTTCTAACAGATTAACTTAATTATTATCTTAACAAATTTTATTTTATTTAACCAAAAATAAGTTAGTTCGTTTATTAAACTTCAATTAAATCATAATAAGAAATTGAATTAAATAAATTACATAAAAACGAAAACTTTTAAATAGTTAATTTGATATTAATATCGTTTATTTTTTTTCAAAATTTTATAATATGTTCAAATTTATATTTCATTCAAAAACAAAAACATTTTCGTATTTTCAAAATCACATAAAATTGTATTATAACATCGATAGAACCAAAATATAAAACGAAATGTTAAAATCAAAATGTATCTCACTGCATTACGCGAATACCCTTCTAGTATTTTTAAATATAGTTATTAATTTTAAAAATTGAAGAATGGGACGGGAGATGCTACTTCCTATTTGGCTCCATAACTATATATAACGGTATATTAAAGAGCATGATGTATATTTGAATGCTTCACAAATACTTCAATAACTCATTGAGTAAATTATGAATTTGGTCCTTGTAATTAGTCAAAAATCACATTTTTTGTCCCTATAATTTTAAAATTACAAGATGACCATCATGTTTTGTTAGTAGAAAACCGCTGAAATAAAATCAGATGAATGTAGAAAAATAAATGCCGATCATGAAGAGGTTTTTCAGAATACGCCATTTGGTTCCGGAAATTCCAACTGATAGTGATGGTAAATAGGAGTGTTCATGGATTTGGTTGATCGAGTTGAAGACATTTGAACAACTTAACCCAATGTTTGCGGTTTGAAAAATATTAACGCACCTCAAACCATACCAAAGTGCAACCCAACTCACACCGTACGGGTTGATCGGATTAATAATTTGGTACATTAAAATATTTTTCTAACCTTGAATATATTATTTATTTACTCATAATTTTTTTTCATCATTAATTATTTGATACAACTTATTCATACTTCTTACATATGTCACATTCAATTAATTTTCTCAATTTACATGTATATATTCACAGTTACATAGAGATGGAATATATTGAAAATATGTGTATATGAAGAGCGTACGTGATAGCGTAATTGTCTAATGTATATATTAATAGACATTCAACAATCGTATTAAATCCAAGAAATAAAAGAATATCGAGTTCATCGGGTTGGGTTGAGTTCAAATAATAGTAACTCAATACCTATGGTTTGAAATTTTACAACTCGATTAGACATCAAGTTATTTCAGGTTGAGTTATTTCGCGTTGGGTTGGGTTGGGTTGATCTGTTGGTCGGATTTTTGAGAACCCCTAGTGGTAAATGTACCTAATGTATAAATTCTTAGTCTGATTCTGAATTCTTTTTCAAATCATAATAAATTGTTTTAGAAATGCATATTCAAACACGCGCCAAACAATCAGAATACGAAAATTAGACCAATGAAGTTAGGAAGGGAGGCAACATAAGATTGCTTTTAGTAAGGTTTGAAAATATAATGTGAAACTGATGGTATTATAACTGTATCTGATGGTATTATAACTGTATCAGGTATTGTGTTATTGTAATTTGTAAATTAATTATTGTTTTTATTTTCATTAACATGAATAAATAATTAAAATTAAATCACTAGATTAATTATTGTTTTATTTTCATCAACATCTCGTGTCTTTGAAGGTTATAAGGAAAAAAAATACCAAAACCATAGGGGTGGTGACTGATTGCTTTGAGCTTAGGCTTCAAAGATCAAAAGTGTCAAGAGGTCTCAGATTTAAATTCAAAAATAAATAAAAATTCTCTTGTGACCAAGAAAGTTCAAATACAGTGACTCCTGAGTACCCACAAATCAAATAGTCGTTCTGAGATTAGTTGACTTGTATAACGAGTTGGATATTCAGGTTAATATATATATATATATATATATATATAGAGAGAGAGAGAGAGAGAGAGAGATGAGCGATCAAATGAAAACCACTTCAATTTGTAAAAATCGTAAAAACTACTCTCATTCATCGTTAATCTTATGAATTTTTTTCATGAAATTGTTAATCTTGTGAAATTGTTTCATATAATACTTTTTTTGATGAAGTTGTTTCATATGTGGTTATGAAATTGTTTCATATACTACTTAATGAAATTTTAATGAAAGTATTTCTCTAAAATTAAAATAATGAAGGTGATAATATCCATGATTAACACCCTCCACAATAAAAATGGTTAATCTACCTCTCATAATTATAAAAAAATGAACAAAATGAAAAATTATGATTGGATGAATGAGGTTTTCACGGTTTTTACAAATTGAGTGGTTTTTATTTGAACTCACCCCTATATTTTCATTTGATCGTTCCTATATATATATATATATATATATATATAGTGTTGGGTTCACGTGAGACCAAGAGTTTTTCGTGAGACCTGTAAGACCAATTTATGTTCATTGATCAATTTTATAAGTTAAAGATCTAATGGTCTAAATTGCACGGTGACAATTTTGTAATTATTGAGAAGTCTCATGGCGTTTGTGAATGTTCAGATCTGACGATTGTAGATCTAATC